TGAGACATTTAATACAGTACAAAAAGTACAATACTCATGGCTTAATTAAGTATAACTGAAGAAATTATAAAGATGTGTTTGGCTCATTAGAGTTTAATGGTAAAAGAGTCAAAAATAAAATGTCATAACAGCATCAGAACAGAAAATGAAATGTCTTACCAAGATGAAAAGAGCTTTTCTTTGGATACTCCGGGTCTCGGTGCAGGCAGGCTACCTCTCAGCTGCGCTTACCTGGAAATGAGCTCAAGAGTGCGCTAAAGGTAAACTGGCATGCATAATAGATAGACAAGTTTGCAAGTCATTCATTGAGCCAGCCAATGGTGGATCACAGTCCTGGGCTGCAGGAGCTGGCCTGTCCAAGATTTCTGTTGACACAGAAGCAGTTGCCATAGGTAACTGAAACACCCAGCCTTGGATTTTCAGATTAATGTTGAGCAGGTGCTTTTATTTTGTTCAAGTAAATATACAGGAATAAATGTCACTATAGTGTAGATAAGATTTTTATGTTAATTTTTATTTTATTCTATTGCCTCACAACTATTTCCTGCTTTTCCTACACTCTACTGACCTTTCAAAAAAAAGTAAGTAATAAGCACCCTTTCAAACACCAAATTACAAATCCTTGGCACTAGCTCCTCGTAAAGGACCTCCAAGGACTTGATGCTGCCATGTAAATTGTTCTTGTCCACTACTTAACTTGGCAACAGCTTTTTGCTTTTCATTAAAGGTTAAACAACAATTTTAATTTCCAATTCCCATTATGAAATGTCATTTTTGTAGTTCGGTTCACATTTTAGACATAGTCATCCACCGTCAAATGTATTGTTGGAAGGTGAACAATCTGAGCTTTGTCTTCAAAGCAAAGGAGTTCAGTTGGTCTCCAGGGAGCATCTGATAGCTCACCTCACCCTAAGAAGCTAGCTGTCTGTATGGATTACAGTCACATGTTTAATGATTCATGCCACAGTCCACACAAGCTGTAGCACAGAATAATAATCTGTGTTGTGTTACCTACCACTGGAAATGAGGATCATTTACACTAATCTGTTCTGAAGGGGTAGTGCTGGACAGATGATAGCCTGGTTTCCACTACACAGACAAGCAAAGCCTATAAAAGCCCATAGACAGGAGTTACTCAGCTGGTCTGTCTTTACCACAAACCAAAACAAAAAATAAACATATTAGCCTACAAGTTTAAACTGGTTTGTGCTTACAGTTATATAATGTCCATTACATAGTATTGTCATCATGTCTTTCATTCATTCAGTCATTCCCTCCTTGGCTGTTCCACTCCAGTAAAGTGTAGTGAGTCCAACTATGAGTCTCTATGCACTTCACATCACAAGTACCAGTTACATGATTTAGGTCCTTTCTTAAGCCCAAGAAGCTTTGTTAAAAACTGATCAGCAGCAATGTTATGGTTGAATAGCTCCATTACCTTTAGTAACCTAACTACAAGTGTTGCTACTAGCGCTGAAAGAAGTAAGAAGTAAAACTAGCTATTCTCCAATCCAAAATGACAGTTGAAACTTTTGCATTATAGATGGACTATCAATTCACTGGTCTTAGCCTTTATGACCTGAATTCATTCCTGATGCTTAGTTCTGTTATAAATAGAGCCCAAATGATATTAGATCCAATATTTATAGGCCAATATTTGAGCTAAGCATGTGTATCTTCTATTTACTTGTAACTGCATAACATCTCAAGCTCACTAGCGCTCACTAACGCTGGCTATGTGATTGGCTTGCAGGTTTATGTTTCCTGCCCCGAAACCACCTCTGTGTCCACTATTTAAAAGGGCACGGCTTCAAAGAGGCCGCTCTGCGCACTATTTTGTGGCTCATGGTCAGGCTACTATTGTCATAAACATGGAGGTTTGGATTTAGAATGGAATGACATGTCATTGCTCCACCCCTGCGGCCTCAGCATCACTTAACATGGCTAGGTTGAAGAGGGCCACCCCACATGCTTCCACAGCCCTGATCTCAGCCGCTATAAATACGCCCCCAAAAAGCGTGAAAAGCCAGGCCTCGCATGAAATTCATCTCCTGGATAGTGTCC